GCAGAAAGAGAGGATGGAGGAAAGATTGAGCTGGTTCTTAACAGACTTTTAAAATGTGTTCTGTAAAACTGGGCAGATGTCTGATTTTGCCACAACCAAATAAATTTGCATAAAGTGTACTGATATACACTGAATCATACTTTCAACGCGTCTATTTGATTGGAGTGTGATTCCATTGGAATACCTTCTTCTGAATGTATTTGAAATGGGAACATAGACAGCCTGGTTGCCTAGTTGCTAAAGTAAGCAGCAGTAATTGAGATGTTTCATCTACAGCCATTTCTGCAATTTATGAGTTCTGCTTATCCTCTTGCAGTCCCCCACAATCAGTGATGGAAGACTCTGAAAATAAGAAGATAGCAGAAATCACTTTTGTCTTTGAAACCATTTGCAGTGTGAATTGTGAGCTTTATTTTATGGTGGTAAGTTACTATCCAACATCTAGAATCAAGAGTTATTTGGGCGTACTTATTGTTTATTCATGGGTTTATGCCATTTCATCTTTGATAGGGTGTGAATTCTAGAACCAACACCCCTGTAGAAACCTGGGTTGGCTCTAAAGGAAAACAATCCTATACGTACATCATTGAGAAGAACGCTACCATGAGTTTCACATGGGCCTTCCAGAGGACAGCATACAATGATGCGGTAAAGACTGGGAAATCTGTTTTCTACCACTTCTTCAAATATCCTTTTAGGGAATGATCCTCATCAAGAATCAGGATTATTCTTAGAAATAGGGGTCATTAAAACTAGGACTATGCCCACCAATTCCTGTAATTGTCCTGCCTTCTCTGTAATTGAATACTTTTGCCACTTCAAGGCATCTATGACACTCTCTTTGTTTTCTTCCAGGGAAGAAAATACACAAATGATGTTGCCAAATTGTACTCTATCAATGTAACCAATGTCATAGATGGTGTAGCTTCCTACTGCCGGCAGTGTGCTCTGGAAACCTCTGGCTCATCCTGTACTTCCTGCCCTCATGGGCACTACATTGACAAAAGTTCTGGTGGTTGTTATCCATGTCCATCAAACACTTACCTGAAAGCTCACCAACCTTATGGCAATCAGGCTTGCATCCCTTGTGGCCCGGGCACAAAAAGTAACAAGGTACTATATTCTCCTCTTTACTGCTCATAATTTCTGTACAGTGATAACTGGAGCTATATCATTACCCAAACAAAAGTTCAACATGAGGGCTGAAAATACTGGAATTGACAAAGGACCATCACTTAAAATAATGAAAATAATATCAGAGCAATATATCCTAATAAAAAATTAGGTTCAAATACATTGCCATAAAGTAGCAAGTTGTCAGGCTCTTGACATCTGTCCAGAACCAAGCATGATTCTTTTCTTAACACAAGTCTCAGAAAGTCTCTTAAGCATGATTTATTGAGAAGAAAGAGATGAGTTACAAGAATTTCAGCAACTGAATTGCATTCCATCTCCAACCAATATGTCCCAAAGTATCTTAGGATTGAGACTTCTTTACTTTGTTTCTAATTGCCACCTATTGAACCAGGAAACAGATGGGTCTTTTTAATTATAATGAAGGAGCTTGCAACAGGTTGCTTACACAACAACAGAGACATTGCTGTTCTCTGGTTTTGACAACTTTCTCAGATGACCAACTTGGCTATCTACTATTTCATTACATTTC